GGTCACAATGGGTAAGGGACGTTTCCTTTCCCCACCCCCGGTCACCCTAAATTGTTCTAAAATCCTCTCAAATTGCACATTTTCTTCTGCAGACCATCCCCACCCCCTCCCCGCTGCCATCCCAGGAGCTATTTTCCTCCCGGTCACGTTAATCGCACGACGACAGCTGCGAATGCCTGGAATGAGCCTCTCAGCTGGCGCCTGCCAAAAACCAGGCGACCGCCCCACCCCTTTTTCCATTTAATTCTTTTCCCCCTGTCTTTTTTTTTTTTTTCAGCGACATCTGAATGGATTCAGTTTTTCAAGGAAGCCGGGATCCCCCCAGGCCCTGCTGTCAACTACGCCGTCATGTTTGTGGATAACAGGTGAGGTCAGCGATGAGGCGATGCCTTTTCGTCGCGTCCGGGGGGCAAAATAGCACTGGAAGATTCCCCTGGTGAGGAGCAAGGAAGGAATTAACCGATTATCCCGCTTCTTAATTAGTTAGGTTAGTTCTGAATCTGCGCTGAGCTGCTTTTTCATTGTCGGTGCTGTTTCTATGAAGGCATCACTGTCCGAACGCAGGTTGGGGGTATCACAGTGCACCTTGCTCAACGCTTAATTGATCAGAGCTTGCAACGAGGGGGAGACCTCGTTAAGCCGGGTCTTTCCTCAGGATCCGGAAGAACATGTTGATGGATCTGAACAAGGAGATCATGAATGAGCTGGGCATCACGGTGATTGGAGACATCATCGCCATCCTCAAACACGCCAAAATCGTGTACCGGCAGGTATGGTAGCACCGACGCCAGCACGGGTAGAGCTTCGCTGTCTTGTTTAGCAGGAAAGTTTTGCCTCAAGGCTCCTCGTTCATCTCCAAAGAGCCCGAGAGAAAACCCTCCTCCATGTTTTTTCCCTCCAGGAGATGTGCAAGGCGGCCACCGAATCCCTCTGCCCCAGCTCCCCCAACGTTCCAGCCGAGCTGCACCGCAACACCAGCAGCGGTGAGCACGGGTGGGAGGTTTCTGGGAGGTTAAATCCCCTGCCCTGATTACTGAGGTGAATTAATTATCTTGAAAGTGAAGGGCTAAAACGATGGCAGCCTTCCCCACGATCGCGGGGAAGGACCCCTCTTTAATTTCTCTGATACGATGGACGTGTGTTGCACTCACCGAAGCCCCTCAGGGTTTTAAAACCTCTCCCTCACCACGCTGCTCTCCCCTTCCAGCCGCCAGCCGGATGATCGCCAACAGCTTGAGCAGAGACTCTCCTCCCGCCGCCCCGCTCCGACAGCGGCCCCACGCCTCCAAAATCTCCGTTACCGTCTCCAACAAACTGGCCCGCCAAGGCAGGTAGGGAGGGTGATGCATCCTGGCAGAAACAACACCCAAAGTTGCTTTTTTCCATTTTTATTTCCCATCAAACGCCCCCCACCCTGGGAGCGTTCAAGGCCGGGGTTATGCCCAAGTGCTCGTAAAAACCTTCCACCCCTAAATCTTGTTGGAACGAAAGCTCCCAATTCACTCTTCCTTTGTCCCGCCAGTCACGACGCGGCAGACAAAAATCCAACGATCCCAGTAAAACGCCGCCGCGTGACGGCAGAAATGGAAGGGAAATACATCATCAACATGCCCAAGGGCACCACGCCGAGGACGAAGAAAATCCTGGAGCAACAAGCAGCCAAAGGTGCCGGCCAGGGGGGGTTGATCTTCATTTCTCTCTTCCAGAAGCCCAGTTTAGTCCCAGCTTAGCCCACCATTACAAATCCCACAAGGATTTTCACATCCAGGGAGTTACTGGGTAGAAGTTGGGTTATTCCAAGGATTTATTAACTCGCCCTGAGCTGCAGAGGTTCCATTCGTGTCTGTTTAAGCCTTAGGATGAAGGGGACGGGTGGCGTTCGGACACTTTTATCGAGTGGATTTAATTTTTGCCGGGAGCCCTCAGTCCTGACCTGCTGTAGCTTCATTTTTCTGGGGAAACCTCCAAAAAAAAAAAAAACCGCGTGTTTTCTTGAAAACTGCAGGTCTGCAGAGGACATCCGTCTTCGACCGGCTGGGATCGGAGGCAAAAGCCGACACAACCACGGGAGGGAAGGTGAGAGGACACGGGATTTGGGCTGTGGTTTGGTTTAGCCATCACTCTCCTCTGGAGGCAAAAATCTTTTTATTTGGGGATACAGGAAATTTTTTTGTTTCTCCTCTAGAGGCAAAAGCCTCAGAGTGTAAAACAAGTTGCAGACTCAGCCCCTTGAAAAAAATAAAAGGGAATATGATTTTATGGGTGATTTATTAGACATGCTTTGTAGCCAAATCATTAATTTAGTTGCTGCAGGCAGCGTTTTGCATCGTTACATCCCAAAACATGTCGCGGGTGAGGTCACCATCCGTCTTGCCCGTCACAGTAGCCGTATTCAGGGGGCGAAGGCGAGGGGGAGGGTAAATCGAGCACCCGGAGTAGGGGCACAGGTGCTGACAAGCTCCCTGCTCTTGTCTCACAGCCCACGGGGGTCTTCAGTAGACTGGGTGACACCTTGGGGACCGATGGGGACAAAGCCACCGATAGCGATGACGACTGCTCTGTCCTCCAGTACGCCGGCGTCCTAAAAAAACTCACCAAACCCCCCCGAAAGGAAAGCACCGAGCCGGGAGGGACCGTCAAGGTGAAAGCCACCAGTTCGGAAGCAAAACCCGTCACCGCTGCCACCATCCAGCGGCTCGGTCACAGGAACACCGCCGGTGTCCGTACGGCGGCAAAACCGCCACCAGCAGCATCCAAAATCGGTGTCGTCGGTATCGCCGCAGCACCGGTGGAAGCGCAGGACGGCGACGTCACCAGCACGAAGGATAAAAACGTCCAAAATCGGTGTCGTCGGTATCGCCGCGGCGCCGGTGGAAGCGCAGGACGGTGACGTCACCAGCACGAAGGATAAAAATGAACCGGAATTTCGGGTGACAATCAAAAGGACCTGGGGGTGCGGGAAGGTGAGCAGCACCAGCGAGAGCCCCGGCGCTCAGATGGATAGCGCCGGCACCATCAGTGTCTTTAAGCGGCTCGGGAAGAAACCCGATTGATCCCGCCGTGCTTCTTCCCACGCCGGACGGGTTTTCCCGACAGTTTTCTGCTTGTCCCGTCTCCTGACGGCCGCCCGTGGTCCCTCGTCCCATTTATTCACCCAAGAGAACCGACAGAGTCTCGTCCTGCCATCCTCCTCGCTGATCCCGCGGGGAAACAACACTAATCCCGCGGGAGAGCAGCAGAGGGAAGAGGGGAAAATCTTTTCCCGGTGGATTTCCTTTCCACAAAGCCAGTGGGTGCGTGGCCAAATTGTTGCTCTCCATCTCTAACAGGCATCAAAATTTATTTTTTTCGTTCCCCTGGTTTTCCCTCCTGCAGGTATTTAGGAATTCAGACCTGGAAAACTCCATATAAAGGGTTTTTTTTTCCCTATTCTGGGTTTTTTTCTTTTCCACGGGTTTTTTCCCCTTTATTTAGGAATCTGCACCAAAATGACTGTGTGTAGTGGTGGCTAGCTGCAGGGATTCTTGATTTTTAAGGATTTCAGAGCAGCCTCATAAAACCAAAAAGCTTCAAAAAAAAACTCCTCGGAGGCTCAAATAAATCCCAAAATCTCCTTAATTTAAGCGATGCCGTCAGTCCTCCACTCGCGGTCTTCGGCTCAAGCTCATCCTGCTGTGCCACCTCCATGGGGTTTTACTGAGATTATTTATTTCCTCCCATATTTGTTTCCCCCCCTTTTTTTTTCAAAATTTATTTCTGCCGACGTCACCAGGGGCTGTCTTCGCCCTGCGCCTTTCTGGCGTTGCTGCGAACCCCGAAAATCTGTATTTTCTCTCCAAAATAAAGACGACGGCGGCGGAGGCAGCTGTGGGGCAAGTCAGGGCCGCGACAGGGAGTCTTTTTAATAAGAAAAACCACTAATTCCCGTACTTTGCCCTCTTTGGGGAGGTTTTCTTTGCGCTTCGGGTGTTGCTCGCCGTGCGGAAACGAGGGCTTTCGCCCGATTTTTGGCTTTTTTGTGTCGCCCGCCGGGCGGTTGTTTTTAATAAAGTGTGGAACCGGCTCCGTTTGGCCTCGATCGAGCCCCCAGACCCGCGGCCGGGACCCCCAAAACGTCACCCCGGGGGCGGTGGGGTCCGTGGGGGGCGGGACTTTATGCAAATATATTTGCATATATTCAAATGAAGGGTTTG